TCTCAAAAAAAGTAATAATTTCTTAGAAAGAAACAAATAATTCAAAGGAAATGTGCTCTGTCGTCAAGTCTTGATATTTTATATCAATTTTATGAAATAAATGACCAGTGATAAAGAATTTAAAACTAGCCATTTCATTGGACGAAACGGAATGAAAAATTTTTGATTGAGGTCATGAACCGATTGATCTTAGACCACCATTAGAAACCTCGAAGCACTGGGTGGCCGTTTCGTCCTATTTTGGGACTCCTCAGCAGGGTGCATCCACGATCTCGCCCGCGGGATTCTAACCCAAGACCTTGGGTCTCGCGCGTGAACAGATATCTAGACCGATGAGTAAGCATGCAACAGTGTTAATTTCTAACTTCAACCAATCCAAAACATTTCACAACCATCTTTCATTGTCTTTGTTGGGGAACTGCCACACTTGATTTGCAAACTTGATTGGTCTAATTCAAAAAGTCACTAGTGAAAAATATTGGGAAATGGGATGATATTCATATTTGAGCAACTAACATTTTAGATAAAGAGAGAGATATGTGCATAGGTTGTCACATGTGATCAAGCACACATGTTCATGCAGACATAATAATAAACATAATATGACAAAGAAATAGACAAATTGTTACTGTTCTAATAATCTTGTTCAATAACTTAATTGAAGGGTTTTACAAAATTAACCGTAAACAAACTTAATTTTAGAAGAGGTTCTATAAGTCGACATATTCTGATAGGCTAAACTGAACATCTCATTTGAAATGTGTAGTGTCGGTTGATATGTTAAGCCCACATATGTGTGTACATTTCTTATCCTATTCATCACATGTCTGTAACTTATTTTTGTGTGACTATAAATATTGATTAACGCTTCACTAAAGGAAGTTCGCTCACATGCCTTCTCCAGTAAGCGTCATTTCGTTTCGCTATCTTCCCTTCATTCCCTGATTGCCTGTTCAAATCAATGAGTCCATGAAATATAATTATATATGACAATATATATTGTGAGATTATATATTGTCAATAACAATCATTCATACGATATTATGGAAGTCAGATATTGGACCACTAAAAGTTGTTATGATTATGCAATGATCGATGGGACAAAAAACTATTCTAGTAAATTCTCTATATAAGCTGAAATGACTAAGCTATGTCGAAATCTAATAGTTCTTTCTACTAGTGATCATCAGCTATTGTATTATCGTATACCATATTAGCTAATTCGCTTGTTTATGTCATATTATTTAAAGTTTAAGCAAAGGAAGACAGAAATTTCTCGGTTATTCGGGCATATTATGACAAATCCGACTCTTATAGAATATTGTTAAGAGCCCAATGGTTCGAAACAGAATATTTTGCAAGCTTATCTAGAATCATCAGCAACTAGTAAACTGTCATTATTTTTAGATTTGCAAAAACAAGATGATTCAAAATTTTAACCTGATCATTGTATTCTAAAACCAGCAAAGATTGGCAATTATTATGTATTGGGCAATAAATCTTCAAAATAAACAGCTATACTAATATTAGATACTGTGCAAACCTTTTTAATTATAAGAGGGACTGTTAGGAGAATGCTCTTAATCGATCATCATGGCCATGTCCCGGCACAGCTCAGGTGAGATGTATAATAACGTATATACCACATCCTTCTTTATTTGTAAAACTTTATATGTATTCACATTTATATTCAATTTCTACTGTTTCCCTGTATCAGTTGTAAAAAACGGACATAACTGTTTGGTTTTATGAATACGTACACACGCTACCACTGTTATTAAAATAAACTCTATCCCCGTCGTCCGACCTTCTACTTTATGGACCCCAGCCTTTGACTGAAGATTACAATAGTGCTGTAACATCCTTTCAGGCCATTCTACACTACTTAATAGTTTTGGCTCGGATTATTGTTGAATGATACTATCAGATTTAATCTTTCTTATCACGTCGTTGGTGGCATCACGTATAAAGGAACCTTCGTTAATCTAGTGAATTCATTCGTGGTTGTTATCTCAGAAAGAGCTTACAAGTAACATCCATTTCATAATAGTTGTTATCATTCTGTTAGTAAATATACCATTTTTTGTGAATGCTATTTGTTACCATTGTGCTTTACTCAAAAATAGACACTTCGGTTTGTAGTGTCAACTGTTTTTTGGTATATTATTAGTTACTATGCGTACTGTTATATCTTTAATAAGATCTTTTACTGGCATGTGGTGTTTGTATGAAATAATGACTTTTTTGTACTTGATGTGTTCCTGATTTTGAATTCCAAATACAATACGTTCATTTGTGCTCAGCTAGTTCGCTTTGGTTTAAATTGTGTTATTTCCAAAATTCCTAATTCGTATAGTAATTCAAATATTTTTAATCATCACATGCTTACTTACGTACTCACTCCTATTACTCTCAATGGAGCATAGGCCGCCGACCAGCACATCATCACATGGTGTCAACCACAAATCTGTCGAACCTTACATTTTTAGAAACTGTAACTTTGAGTCCACTCACAAGCATTTCGACGTTTCTTTTTTCTTGCAAGTGGTTGTTCTTTGTATATTTATAATGTATTCGTCAGAATCAGCCAGGATAGTGATTCAATGGAATTACACTCCCTAATCCTAATTAATGGGCTTTCATTCTGTAGATTAAGCCAACGTATTTGATTTGAACAGGTGAAAATCCAGTTTCAGCGTCTTAACATACGTTCACATGCATCAAAATACTCGTTTATGCTTGGGATCCTGCCGACCGAAGTTGCATCTAAGGTATCTGACCTTAAATACAATTCTCCTGAAACAGAACTCGATGATCAGTTAAAGCAGGCTATTATTCAACGTACCTCGGTATCGGATGAAAAATGGTAGATCAGTTGCTATGTGAGTGAGAGTTAGATGACAAGTCACCATCTCAATTATTATGTCAGATGAAGCAGTTGGTTGGACCTGGTACGACACCTTAGGTACAGATGATACCAGACACTCCGAGCAGCACTCAAACCTCTAACATAGCGTCATTAACAGCTGAGTTAAGCGACATACATACACATCATGCACACACTGTTGCTAGTTTTGAAAAAAGCTAAGGCATTAAAATTATTCACTTTCGGTCGCACACCTCGAGGGTCTCTATCCAGTTCTCCGAGGAGTAAGAGCCAAAACACCACAAGAACAAACAAATATGACGATCACATTTGTTGATATAATAGAAAATATGGCGATAAAGCTAGGAAGTGTGTCACGTCCCGAAATTTGTTGAGTCACTTTCCTCGCCAAAGCGTGTCGACCAGACGACGATTGTTACTGGTTATGCCTCTTGTTGCCTCTTCCACGTCCTGGGAAAGACTTCAGGTAACAAATTTTTAGTATAGACTGGAGCCAAAGTCAGTGAAATTCCATTTACTTTAGCCATGAGACCTATTGCCAGATGTGAACTGTACTCATTGAGAGTAACTAATAAAACTGAAATAACGACATCTGGAGAACAACTGATATGAGACGTGGGAATTAGAAGTCCTCTAACCCGGGTTTTTATTATCGCTGATGTCTGTCACCCTATATTGAGTGCAGACTTCCTAAGCTCCTACAACATATTAGTTGGTGTTAAATAGCGAAAAGTCATCGATCCTTGAACGAAACTGCAAGTTTCGAGAGTTCAATCGGACTATCACATAGTATGAAAATCAACCTTTAGGTAAATGATATCTTTTCCAATATTTTATTCAAGTTTCCAAAAGTAACGAAACCAGACTGTGGTGAAAATACCATCCAACGTTTGGTAGTACATTGAATTATTATGAAAAGCCAACCAATTTTGGCACGTTCACGTCGATTGCCACCGGACAAGCTTAATGTTACAAAGGCCGAATTTGAGCATATGATGCAACTTGGAATAGTACGTCCATCGAAGAGCCACTATACATCACTTCACATGGTACCTGTAATGGGTTAGGATTGGTAACCTGTGGTGTTTGAATGAACTAATGATTCCTTCATACTTGTTGAATGCTTGGTTTTGAATTTCAAATACATACATTCGTTAGTGCTTGCGTAGTACTTCTTGATTCAATTGCGTTATTTCTGGGATTCCTAGTTGGTACTATAATTCAAATACTCCTAATCATCATATAACCTCGAGGTGATTGTCGGTAGTCGAATAGCTTAACGTTACCTGATCGTTACCCCGTTCCTCATTGGCACGATTTTTTCTCTAACGTTGCATGGAAAACATTTCTTTTCTAAAATCGATCTGTTGCAATCGTACCATCACATTCCAGTATTATCCTTTCAGTTTGTTTGGATTCCTGAGAATATCATTCGGATTAAAGAACGCCGTAGATATATGTCAACGATATATGGATGAAATCATTAAGGGCTTGGGTTTTGTTTTCGTATATGTCAACGATATATTAACAGCTGGCAGCTCACTCCATGGACATATTGATCACCTACACCAACTGTTAGGAAAATTTTAGAGATCTGGTGTAGATATTAATCCGTCCAAATACATTTTTTAAGTTGAAAGCCCGGAATTAAACCATCAGATCAAATAGCTGCATCCATCTAAAATTGCTTGGTGATTATCTATCTATGATAATTAGCAGTATTCAAATTAATTTTCTGACTAGGAATTCCCGAAATAGAGCAATTGAAGGCAGACAGAACAAGATAAACAAAACTGAACGTATTACATTTGGTATTAGTCGTAAGCACGAGATCAAGTATAAGTCAATAATCAGTCAGTGCAATCACCATAGTACCACTATCCTACCAAGGTTTTATCACTTTTCACTATAATTATCGGTCAATGTAAATTAAGTAAGTTAATTTTTTAAAAGTGGAATACAATATTTAAAAATCGAGTACTTCTACGCCTATGTCTTGTTCTTCACTAAAGCAACTAAAAGAAGAAGTATGATTACTGACACTTAAAACTTATAAACAAAATAGTAGTAAGTCCATTAATCAATCTGCTATACTTTTTCCACACACTTTTAGATAATGCATCCAATAATCTTCCGAATCATTTTAAAGCTGCCAAAACTTACGTTAAAAATGTAGTTATACTTTATCATGTTTATGCTAAGAATGTAAAACTGAAATTCGAGGAAAATAACGATCCAGTTGTTTTTACAAATCTGCCTGTAATTCACCAACGTGGATGATCTGTGTTGAATGGTCTGGGGCCTACCCGAGTTAAACAGGAATGGTGTGAAAAACAAGTTGACGTCAGAGTTACACCTCACGGTTTGTACTTATGGCGGATTGACTTTTCGTTGTATCCAGGTACTATGATTACTTTGATGACCGTATAGCATAAACGATGTTATCACAGAAATATTTTGGTAAGAGTAAGTGTAAGGAACAGAATACTACCACCACCACATAGTCCGCCAATTCATGGCGTTTAATTAACTGATCAGCGTTGCTTGTCCTTGATTTTGATAGGGATCGATGGTCTGTTAGATATTCAGTGACCCAACTGCTGGATGATTTGGCTAGGGTTCAGTAACATTTTGCTGGCATACATTTATTACCAGGTCAGCATACAACTTGAGGTACTCTGACACGTCCTATGTGGTAATTCGATAAAATAATTTATTTCGGGTTATTTTTTTAAACATTTCAAAATAAAGTAAGTTCTTTTCCAGCTGAAACCAGTTTGCTGCCACCCGAAATGTGTCGTCTGCGCGTATGTGCTTTCCTATGTGCTTCGCATGAAGTTGTCAAAGAGTATGTATGCAGGAAAACTGACTGGTTTTCTTTGTACAATATCATGAACAATCCTCTTTCTTCCAAAAGTTGAACAGATTCAGAATACCCCACACTGGCCGAAGCCAGTGATAAATTTGAAAGAACTCTGAAACTCAGACTGTGACAACATGGGCTTAAGTTAAGCACGCTAGAGAGCTTTATCTAGAAGGTTTGATATTTACATGTCTATACTTCATATATCTTATAACCATAACCCAATCAACGGCACACGATTCAATTATCCACTCAAGTTACGCTTAAACTTATCGATGTTTGACAGACTGTTTAACAATCAGTGATCTGTCGTCTACAGCCGAAATGGCCCTGACTTAGTGATAATTTGTCTAGAGCACTGTGATGTTCCACATTACCTACACACACATCGTACTTAAATTCACATCCAGATAACATGTACCCAGAAAATTGGTCGTAGAATTTTGTTGAAACTTTTAGTTTCTGCTCTACAGAAATCTAATTGGACTGGTAGGTGATAATGTCTACAAATGTGAGCGCTACTAAAAAAGTATTTTTCCCACGAACGAAAATAAAAGAACGGTCACTAGTTCCAACAACGGTGTATTGTTGATGGCCTTACAACTTCTGTTGATTGGTTAAGAGTTTACCACAAACATCTAAGTAAATGTCAAAACATTAAAGCTTTAGTATTCACTCACTTCCTTACTATATGATGTTTATATTTCCTACCATTTTGTATTAAATGTTGAGGCTTTGTTTGTTTGAAAAGGTAATTTCGCTCCCTAGTCCACCTTCTAGAATTTAAAAATTAGGACCCGTCCACTACCTTTTTTTCTGTCGGTGAAACGAGTGATACCCACTGGCACGATAATGGCACTAGTATTTACTGAGAAAAGACTTGTCCGGTGAACAATTGTACATCTCAGACTTAGTGATCACAGGGGTCATTAGGACGTAAGTACCAGGAAACTTTTTCAACAGAGGGTTGCTGAACTGGATGAAAGACGCATTAGACGCCCAACTTCGAGATCAACAGGTCGGATTCCGTAGGGACCGGTATAGCACAAATCAGATCTCATCAATAATAACCATCGTCGAACAACCAATTGAGTAGAACTCACCATTATATAGCATTTTCATTGATTATGAGGCGTATGACAGTTTGGATAGGAAAACATTACAGAACCTTATTTTAAACAATGGCACTTCTTTCTCGTACACACCAATAAATGCAGATGAAGACAACTAGTGTAGCGGCAGCCTCTCAATCAGTAGATCTCAACGTACACAAAAGGAAAAATCAATATCATCAAATACAACACGGAGAACACCAATCCAATCACACTTAGTAGAAAAACTCTGGAAGATGTAGAATTCTTCACATACCTGCCTGGGCAACATCAGTGATGAACAAGAACGATCTGATACAGATACAAATAAGAGGATCGACAAAGCAAGGGCCGCAATCCTACAATCGAAGAATACATGGAAATCAAAACAGCTGTTAACCAATATCAAACTCACAATCTTCAATATGAACGCCAACACTGTTCGACTGCACAATGCTGAAACATGAAAAACTACAACGACCACCATCAAAATGGTACAAGTATTTATAAACACTGTCTATGTGAGATACCCAATGTGCGTTGACCGAATACCACAAGTAATAGCCTTCTGTGGGAGAGAATAAACCAGCTTCCATCTGAGGAGGAAATCAGGAAACGACATTGGAAATGAATAGGACGTACATTTTTCGTGCCTATTGGTAACCCTCGTGTTATTAATGGAAGAAACCAGACTAGTAGGAAATAGGTCTTTATTTTGATCTTCACGCAGTCACAGTGGAGCGTGAGATTCGTTACTCAGACAAACAAAGCCTCTCAACATACAATATAAGATAATTGGAAATATAACGCCTATACAGAATAAAGAAGTGAATAAATATCTGAACTATGCTGTTTTGACATATGTTTAGTTGCTTGAGATCAATTCTTAACCGATCGACCTAAGCTGTTACATTAGCTTCCCCCTAGAATCAACTTTCGTAGAAACGTCGGTTCGATAACCTATCTATCGAAAGCATTTTAGTTGTTTCCGTAGCCCAAGGGAGAATTATCAACTTGCTCACTGTGACTTAAAGTCAATGACGATTAACTCCGTCGGTAATCGACGATAGTTCCTGGATTTATCTTCATTTGCCACCCTGTCATCTTATTTTGTAGCATGCAATTTTTTCTGCAACTATCGCTGACGGTTTACTGCGTGCTTGCAAGAGAGTGTGAGAAAATAGAACGAGAATGCCTGAGGAAGTGCCGCGAGCGGGCTACCCAGCACCATGTTGGTGAGGTACCAATTTTTCGATGCTCTGTCCGGCTATCAGGTGTTTACTCACCTGCCTCTTGAGTCGCCCTCAAGTAAAAATTAAAAAAGAGTCTACTTCAAAAGTAATGATGAAAATCAATCAAACCTGAAAACTGCTCCACTACCTGCATAAAATAATAAGGTTTAAAATGGAAATACATAAATATAATTGATAATTGTTCGTTTCCATGTACGTTTTTTGCCTTCAGAAAGGATCGGTCGTCTGGCATGCTTTCTGAATTCGCCGTTACTGCCAGGATTAGTTGTGTGGATTCATAGTACATGCTCACAGGAAATTTGTTCAACGTTTCCCTCCAGCTTTTTTAATTGTTTACTATTATTGGTAAAATCTAAGAAATTGTTTAGTTCAGCAGACGCAGATTGTTCACACCACTCACCTTAGTTGAAGATTCGTCGTTCTCTGATGTGACTTACCCCTTTTTATGGTTTTGACTACTATTACTCAGCAATTATTTAGAAATACCTAGCTTATGTATCCAGTATTTTAAAAAAATTACCACACATACATACATCAAAAGTAAAAGATCTGGGGAGTTGTGGATAGCATAACATCTCAAACTACTTTTTATGTTTTTCTTAGTTAAATAAAATAGGTGGGACGGTAAGCGAAAAGAAATCTTATTTTAAAATAGACGCAGGATCTTACCAGATACGTGGTTAGATTTTATTCTGCAACCAAAACTGTCAATATTCTTGACTGACTAATTGGATGTGCCCATCTAACCGTTTTAGTCACTTGTAAAGATTTACCGTTTTTACATGTCGATTACGTGATTGTTTTGTCAGGTAAGCGGTCTAGCAACACGTACGGTGGTTCATGATCGAGATAAGCTGGTTTTCAACTATCAATACTTACGGAGTCCATGTTTCCATGTCTTTCTATCATGAAATATGTATCTTTTCTTGCGATGACTTCGAAAGGACCTTCAAATGGAGAGCTAAGCGGTGCTTTTATTTTGTCACATCTTATCCAGATGTGCGTGCAATTGCTTAAATCCTCAGGTATATATAGTGCTCGCGATTGTTCACGAGTATTAATTGGCGTAAGTTTGGACATGTGGTCCCGTAGTTGATCTACGCAATTTTCCAAATCAAGTTTTTGACTGTTAGTATTAGGGTTAATAAATTCACCCGGTAGTCTCAGAGTTGTTCCGAAAACCACTTCCGGTGCAGAACTCTGTGCGTCAGTCTTGACAGATGTTCGTATTCCCAACATAACTAACGGTAGGAATTCTGTCCATTGATTGGGGTTTGAGTGAGATATAAGAGCGGTCTTTAGCTGACGGTGAAAACGTTCTACCATCCCATTAGCCTGAGGATGACATGCAGTACAGTGTATTCTATTGTGGCCTAGAAGTTTAGCCAAGTTATTGAATAGTTCGGATTCAAATTGCGCTCCTCTATCCGTCGTTATTGCTATGGGCGTACCAAAAATGGTTACCCAGTTCTGCATGAAAACCTTGGCTACTGTTTCCGCTGCGATGTCCGCTATCGGGATGGCTATAGGGAATCTGGTAAATCGATCTATACATGTAGAAAGATGATTAAAACCGTTCGAACGTAATAAAGGGCCTACCGAGTCGATATGCACATGGGCAAAACGTGCGTCTGGTTGCAAGAAAACACCTATGGGTGAATTTGTGTGACGAATAACCTTTGATTGTTGGCATGCCGGACACTCTCTGACCCATTTGTGTACATCGTTCTGTAAATTCGCCCATATATATCTGGCGTTGATTAGTTTAGTTGAAGCTTTTGCGCCAGGATGAGACAAAGCATGGAAGTTATTATATATCAACTTTCGCATACTTTTGGGAGCAAAAGGTCGAGGCGATGCCTTGGTCGTGTCACAGTGAATTAGAATACCGTCGATAGGCGACGGTAACTGTTTTAATTTAAGACTTGAGTTATTTGTTTTAAGTAGGTTTTGTAATTCCGGATCCTGTTCTTGTTCGTGTTTCAGCGTCTCGAGGTCTACTGTACACTGTTCTAGCACGTTCATTTCTAATCTAGATAAAGCGTTTGCAGCCTGATTGTCCCGACCTTTGACATGGTGGATATCACCTAAGGACTGTGATATATAGTCAAGGTGTCGAACTTCTCGAGGTAAGTATTTCTCGGCTCTCGCTTTTAATGCATTCGTTAGTGGTTTGTGATCTGTAAAGACCATAAATTCCCTGCCTTCTAACATGTGTCGGAAGTGCTTAATGGTCAGGTAGATTGCCAGAAGCTCTCGCCCAAAGGTAGAATACCTTGTCTCTGCTGGAGCGAGACTTTTCGAGAAGAAAGCAATTGGTTTCCAGGCGTTTTTAACCAGTTGATTAAGGGTATCACCTACTGCTTTATCTGGAGCATCCACAATTAAGGCAAGTGGGGAAGAGAATGCGGATACATCAACGTAGATGCTTGAGCCATTTTATCCTTTAGCTGTTTAATAGCTTCGACGCCGTCAGAAGACAGTCTGTATTCTTTTGGTTTTCCTTTAAGTGAATCCGTCAAAGGTTGCATTAGTTGTGCACAACCGGGTATGAATCTACGATAAAAGTTAATTAGATCTAAAAAACTTCTCAGTCTCCTGGGGCTTGCAAACACAGGCGTACCTTCGGTTTTGATAGTATGACTTACATTTAGTTTGTCTTTGAAAGGCTGTGGGTTTGGTCTAATTAAGTTTGGAAATTCCGCCAGTATATCTTAGAATTTACTGGAGGAGTTTGAATCAAGTTGAGGGATGTGATGTGACTTTCCTTGCCTTTTGTGTAATTCGAAGTTTCTTTCAGTGTTAGGCGTCGTTTCTTAGTGTCAACGAGAAAATCTTATCTCTCTAGAAAGTCCATCCCCAGTATTGCCAGATCTAAATCGGCTACGGTGAAAACCCAGGAGAATCGCCTTTTGAACCCCAAATCTAGTGTTGAAGTTTTCTGCCTAAACGTCTCAATTTTAGTTTTATTGGCAGCTTGAAGTGTAACTGGGGATGTTTTTCGCCCCAGCTCAGTTATGTTTTGAGGGATGATACTAAGAGAAGCACCAGTATCTACCAAAAAGTTAAAACCGGAGTTTCTATCTCTAACATAAAACAAGCGGCTGTCTAGGCGCCCCTCCTCAGTGGTCGCGACCCGGGGAGGGGTTACTCCTTTCCCGCATTCCTGGGATTTTTTTGGGCCAGGCACATGGTTGCATGCACTTGGTTCAGTTGACACCAAACTTCCAGTGATACCAACAGAACTGCCCAGATTGTCTGGACATTTAATAATAATAATAATAATGATTTACTCTCAAATAACATTTTGTTACATGAGGCATACCAGTTTTGTGACTTGGGTCTTGGTCGTTGTTGTGACCTGCTTCTGTTTCCATGAACCATTTGCATTCTGGCGACAGCCTCAGTGAGAGTTTTAAGACTCGCAATGAGTCCTTCTATGACTGAGTCTTTTGCTGGATCTTCTTTTTGTGTGTGGTTTATCGTGTGTGATCCAGTTGGAGGACCCCTTTCCATTATCCTATCGGTTATAGGCGCTAAATGAGATAAGGAGGTTTCAAGATCTTGTGCATCCAAACAGTGTTGAACGTAGCATGGGAGAGCTTGTATCCATCCTCGCTTTAGGACTGCTTCATCCACTGTGTTATCGCCCACTAAGACTTGAAGGTGACGTAAAAACTGTGACGGTGACCTATCACCTAATGTTTGGATTCTTTGAATGTCTAATAATGATAAACGGTTCATGATCTCTCGTCCTAAAATGGTATAGGGTGTGGTGATGGCTGGGCTTAAAATCAAGTCACGGACTTCTTTGGTGACTGAAGGAGGAAGAATAGAACACAAGTCTCTATAGCGAATTCCTTCAGATTTGATATTGTGTCTCGTGAAATAATGCTCTAGTTGACCAAACCACAACTCAGGATCACTACGATCATATTCCGGAAGTCGGAATTTCGTAGTCATAGCAGTGTCTATCTCCACTGATGACAAATCTTCCAGGTTTTGGGTTTGTATTGAGTCTGACATGATGTATATGAACAATATAGTAATAAACTTAGTACGAAAAATGGTTATTACAGCACGAATAACTTAAGATAATAAAAAAATACTACGGATAAATATATATAACCAGACTTTATTTACGGATAATCAGAAGGTCTACTTTTACGACTAAGTAGAACAAAAAAATTTACTAATCAAAAATGAAATCAAATTCGTATTTCACAGGGCTCACCAATTTCGTGCCTATTGGTAACCCTGGTGTTATTAATGGAAGAAACCAGACTAGTAGGAATAAATATCTGAACTATGCTGTTTTGACATATGTTTAGTTGCTTGAGATCAATTCTTAACCGATCGACCTATTTGTTACACGTTACGTAAATCATCAAACTGCATCACGAGGCAAGCCCTAACTTGCAGTTGTAGTGACCTACATTTGTCAACAGAACGCGATTGGTTCGATGAAAACAATTATTATTATAACCAATTGTACCTGTGATTGTTTTATTGTGCTCGTTTGTTTAACTGTGTTTATGACAGCCATTATACTCACTTACTCTCCCGTTGACTTTGAAGTTGTACGAATTCGGTTACGCTCAGTAACCACGCTTGTACTCCTTTGGCACGATCTCGGTATTCTTTCGATACCACGAGATCGCCAACAAATACATCTCGACTACAGCCATCATCTGCCTTCTGATTTTTGGCCTACCGGAATCTTATTGGTCTATTGGCACGTAGTCTGGTAGCGGTGTTCATAGTCAAGATCAACTCCACACCACGCTACACAGTGCTGAAGGGGAACGGAAAAAAAGAAGACTAAATAACACATTACATCAGTAAGTGGAATCAAATATAAAAAAGATGAATAACAGCTCTAAAGAGGTGGAAAGCATTTCCAGGACAGAGTTGGATGGATAATGCTGTTGGGTGGCCTGTGTTCTTCCACGGGGGATCACAGGTGGAAGTACATAGCATCTCGGTAAAACATGAGAACCATAGATTAGAAACTTCGTGTGCAAATTTCCATCACTTGTCTTTTATAATCTGTACGATTCTTCCGAATCACAATTCCGTTTCTATTTTCTTCAAGTCGACATTCATAGTCTCATACCTCAAACAATACAGCCTGTGCTATAGTCAAAGGTTTCTCTAACACAAAATAGCGTGCTAAGCAAAAAAAGAAACAGTTAATGCAAAAGATTTCAATAGCTGACAATCAATAAAAAATGTTCGCAACAAGGTAGGGTCAGATATCTTTTTCCAGGGATCCCAACAATCTTTCCAAGCAGATATCCAAAGGTTAACAGTCATACATTGAACCACCCCGTAACCTTAGTCTCAGTCAAACACGACCTTAATCTCAATAGTCTGGCAACATGCAACGGAAAAATTGGGTAACTGGATGTAAGTCTTTAATCAGAGTTACATAATAGAAGTTCAGACGCGGGAGACTGAAGAACACAAAGTGTGGTTAAAAGAGATCTGAATAAAGGTTAAAATACACAACAGGGAGAAAAAAGAAATAACTGGCAGTACTGTCCGACGAAATGCTGTGAACAGATTTCCAGCATTTTATTTCCCTTACACCCTAATAATGCTGCTTTCTATGTCTCTTAGGCATCATAAACTTTTAAGCAACCAGAAGGATTTATTCCATGTTCTATGGAAAAGTGTAATCTCCTAGTGGTGTTTTGAAAATTCCGTTTTGATTTGACAAAGTTCATCTAAGGATATCATGGACTCATTTAAAGATTCCAATCATATTAAAAGACCGATATTTGAACGAAAAATATTTCTTTCGACAAATTCTCTTCAGGTTTTACAAATATATATCCAAATCAATAACCCGAAAAATGGCTGGGTTAAAGGCAAAGTACATTGTTTAAGGTTAAAACATGTGAGTCACTTGCAGAGTTAGATGTTTGATATTTAACTCTCACATTGATTAAAAGCGACGAAGTTTTTTAATTATGAAGATCTATAATGAATAGTGCTCCTTGAAATAAGATGCTGAGCCCTCATCCTACCATACGTTATGGAAACAACCTACCAAGTGTGGCCCAGTCATATGTTCTACTGTTTACTGATGACACTGAAATTTGCAAACTCATACACAGGGTGTTTATTAAGGTAGGATTACAAGAAGACCTGAAAGCACTGATTAGTGGTCATTCGAAATAAATGGCAGTTAGGAAGTTGTAATCAAAACGAGACAAACGTTCTATTAAATAATTGTACAGAGGTCATATTTATGAATCATTGTATACACACGTATATTTTGGAATGGTTATTAATTTAATTGATACATGCAATTTTCAATCGAACATTTGTGGCTGACTCAAAAGTGGTATGTTCGAAGGGCGACGCTAACACGTTGTGGCAGCGCTTCGGGGGTATCGCACGCTTTTTTGCTCTACTTTTTCATTTCTGCTTTGTGAACAGCCACCATTTATTATCATCACCAGATGTAAGTCCATTTTGTGTACTTACATTTTTCCCGAGTTTATTGTTTCGTTCACGGTGCATATATGAATACCCAAGGGTTATATATGGTCGTTTTACAGCTAATTCCATAGAGGCGTTGTAATTGAGCATCAATAATAAATGAGACTACTTAGAAGCTCATTTGCTTATAATTGTGTTATCTAAGCAACTGCTCTGTATTGTGCAGACTATCGCGACAATGTTGCGTTCCGCCATAATAATATCTGTTGCTAGGTAAAGTCTGCTAGTATAGTGACCTTTATTCACTCGAACCCAACTGACACTAAGACGAGTTACGATAACTGGATAATAAAACCACCAGTAACACTACGATGATAGTACCAATTATAAGCGAGTATGTGCACGTGGGCACCACATATCGATGTTTGTCTAATCTTGGTTACGTGCTTCGTATCGTTGCTCATAGGCGACATTATGTAAACCCAACCACGGGAGTACAAACGAATAATACAGAACCGTAATAGTCGAGGCTAGAAGGATTTTCGCGATCATATCTAGCCCCGGAGATCGAGTGTTAGGGAGTCACATGAATGAGCTTTTTAACCTATGCATTACAGATTCGCAACTGCAGAGCCTTTTCCTAACCTTGAAAAAATTTGAAACCGTGTTAAAAAGTGTCCATTCTGATTTTTCGGTTTCGTATTATTTGTTCTTACGGCAAGGCCAAATCTTTCTGACTGGCTGAAATGTTTCAAGGCTACTTAGGACTCGATCTAAGGTCATCCACAAATTGTAGTCTCCATTTTTCGTCTCAGGTTCTCTCATATACTGCTCCCCACGCTTCCACAGTGCACAAGATACCATCATTCTAGACGCCTATTGAGCTGTTGTAAAGGCCCATGATTATTTTCTGCTATCCGCATTAATTCGTTGGATTCATTCATTCGTTATAATGTATTCATATAGCACATTTGACATGTAATTGTAAATGATCAGGGAAGATGTGTTTGCTTAGTAAACCACTAACAAGTGGACTCATTTTGCCTATTTCTTAGGTTCACTTAGTAGTCTTACCCTTGTAAGAGGGTACGAATCCATGAAGTCACTGACAAGTTGACTGAGCCATGTTGGTAGGTGTAGACTACCTGGTCGCGATCCTCGAGACAATAGCAACCGATGGTTATAGACCTCGAATGACATGGCTCAAAATCGCTTGCAATAGCGCAGATGCATCCACTCTTTGTGTTTTGGCAAATTCTACTTTTCATGTCCCTTTTTTTCACTGGATTATATTCTTTAAATAACATCTTCAAACTAATGTTTCCGAATACTGCTTATACTTTTACTACCCCTAGCACTACGGGATTTGAATCGACAATTGTATCTGTGTGCTAGTGTGGTATAGTAACTCAAACTGATGTACTTACGTACGAAGTTCTACGTTGTTGACTGGCTGAGTCTCGCCCTTGTATTTAACGCCGTTTTGGTTTGCGATTCTAAGTTTCGTTAACCTACATAATGATACCAATTTCGACCATTTCACTAGATATTCTGTGTATTTAAATTTACTACTGTAGTTGTTTTGTTTTAGATTCATCTGTCCTGTAATTATGTGATATCACGTTGCACTATATGAAGGGTGTAACTATTCCAGTGAAAAATGGCGATATCCAATATTGTTTCAGATGTTGGAGTTCTTCTTCTTAGAATTTATGTTCTTGTCGTTTGGAATATAATAATACTATATCAAATCCTGCGTAAAAGAAGAGACTGTTGGATTCGCATAAATGACCTGCGTGTAGTTCATGAGAATCAAGGCTTCTTAGTTATAAATAAGCATCCTGAGTTACTTATAAACTGCACAACCCCATGGATTAACTGTTTAACTCTACAAATGCAGGTCAGTCAATTCTCTGGATTTTCAAAACGTGTTGGGCTCTCAAACTTGTAAAGGTGATCTCAAGATTAATGTAGTACTTATGTACTTTGATTACTTTAGTATCGTAAATTAAAAAACAACATGGAAATAAAGGCAATGGTCAATTCTAACCAGTTCATTTCATTGATATCGTAATGAATTCTGTATCATAGCAAATTATATACTGTCCTGTTTCGTCTAGTTGATATCCACACACTAGCCAAAGAAATAATGGTTACCTAACATGCTAAATGTTTCTAAGAACTGTTTGAGTTTAAAACAATAATTGAAGAAGGTTGTTTATTGCATAACTGCTTTCGTTGCTTACTTGTCGTTAGTAGATTAATCCTATACATCGGTGTACATAAACCAGCAGAACGGTGGCTTGCTACTCAAGTCACTTAACTTAGTTACATGTAACAATTCTGCCACATCTTCAGTTTGAGCAGTCGAGTAGAAAAATGAGTTCTTTTTTATTGTTATAGATAAAACAAGGTTTTAATTAGCCACCTAATGGTCACGTTTACCTAAATTACTAGTCAGCCAAGTTCACTTATCGAATTTGATTCGCAAGTACAAGAAACCGTAATTTCAAACAAATGATTAAGATTTCTAGAATGGGAAATCGGTGAGAATGATCAAAACGGAACTAGTAGACTAAAAAATACACCATTCTAACAATCTGAGAAGCAAATTTGTACTGGTGTCTCTTAAGTTACATAGTAACTCAATCTATTGTAGTTTCTATTTGAATAGTCCATGAACAAAGTATAATTTGTTACAGCTATGTGCTGTCTGAAATAAAAACTATTCTTTTAAAGCAATTAGTAATATGACCCTGTTATATTTACTCGAACGTTATGTACTTTCTGTTCACTTATTTTTCTATCTTGACCGTCAGTTTTTCGCGTAAAAATGGTTGTATATACTCCTGATGTTTGGTCATTCGAGTTTTTTATTAGTGTAAGAACTCATTCAGCCAAACCCGATACCAACACATATTTTGCTTATCTTCAAGTGATCATCTCCACTATGGTTTCACACCAAATAGAAATAAAAATAGTATGTTATGTGTACTGACTTGTATCTCACTGAGCAGTTCAGTATTCACAGCCCCCAAATGCCCTAGTACGGCCGAGAGTGGGAAGAGTCCTCTCTCCCTCTCGAAATGCTCTCACATGGCCACGCGTATATAGCCTCTGCCAGGGAAGTCCTACTCACTGCCTTCTCGTGGCGGGGTAGTTGTTTACAAAAATGAGAGGACGAAAAGCGAATGTCCGGCGATTTAACTGGATTCCAAACCAATGGTGCACATAGGCTCCAGTATCCTGCGGGAACAAATGGCGTATGAACCAATCGTTGGTCACCGGCTACCATGGGACTGCATCTCCTCACGATGCTCCACTGCCTTGTGGGTCAGACATTCAGGTCGAAGGCTCGGGGTGTGGCCCCCGAAGAAAACCACCTACTTCGGTTTGGGCACTCGGGCAGTATCACAGCCCTCACATATATCAAATGAGATTTGTGTGGCGCATATGTATTTGGTGCCTCCTTTTACCAATATCTATGTGTTAAAATAAATCAGTATTCACAAGCATCTTTAAAATTGAATTGATGCTAATGTTTTTGTTTTATAACTTCATACTTATAATTCTAACGGTTTCTGTGTTATCTGTAGTTGTTCTACAACCGTCCACACTATGTTAACTGGAAACTGAAAAATATGTTTCATTTTGTCCATCGACTCGATTGTCCAACAAGCGGTTTAATATGCATTGCTTATGATACAAAAGTTGCAAGTATGGTACGATTGTGTTGATTAATTATTATCATGTTAACTATTTTGTAATTAACTGTACACCATTAATAATTTAGATTTTCTTAGTTCAACTCAACCTACTGACCACGTACAGGTTCATGGGGTAAATTTGATTTCTATCGTGTTTATGGGGCACTACTCAGTTACCTACATCTAATTTATTTCCAAACTTCGAATCCATTGACTGATAACGGGGTTCTTAAACCAACAGACCACATTTCTACGTTCAAGGAATTGCTGCTTAGACATAAAAATATTTGCATTCTAAGAACCGAGTAGACTCTAAATGTATAATCCAAATAACTAAAATAGGTTATTTTATTTCCCCTGGTACTTGGCAAGATTTGGACTCGGCAAATGCAAATCAAATACTGTATGACTCGTTCCCCGCAAATGCTCTAGTAAGGCCAAGGTTAAGGGGAACCAGCACTCCCTCTCGAGATGCTTTTGAATGTCATTATTTTTATAATAATAAATAATAGTGGCCACGCGTTTACAGCCTCTGCCAGGGAAGTCCTACTCACTGCCTTATCGGGGGAGGGGTGATGTTTACGGAATTGAGAGGATGAAAAGCGAATGTCTGGTGCTTTAACTGGGCTGGACACGAAGCATCCGTTTAGGGGAGTTAAAAAACCCTTATTCCAAACTAACGGTGTACATGGACTCCAATATCCTGAGGTGACAAATGGCGCATGAACCTATTGTTGGTGACCGGCTACCATGGGACTGCATCTCCTTACGATGCTCCACTGCCTTGTGGATCAGACCTTTAGGTCGAAGGCTCCAGATGTGGCTCCCCAGAGAAAACCACCTGTTTCGGTCTGTATGTATTCGGTGCCCCTTTGTACCAATATTAATGTGTCCAAATAAATAGTGACTCGTCATAATGTGAACATTATTTTTTCATTAGTATCACCGAATAACAAACATAGATCAAAAGAGAAATAAGCTATTTGATTGGTATTAGCAGTTAAAAATAATTTTACAGTATTTTATCATCGTACCCATTTCGAACATCAACATTCTCAATTTCCCGTTGTAAGATATTTTTAACAATCTATCCCTCTAGGCTGGTAATGTCCGTCCACATCTCCAGCAATCTTGTTGAGCCGCAAGTAAAATGACTTAGAAGATCCACAGTGTCACTCCAGATTTTCGGTACGGAACTAATAATTCTGAAATTACATAATGATCACCCATGACTGCCTTCAAATAACTGTTCCCTTGACTCGATAATCACACTTTCAGATGAACAAGAATAAATATACTTCTATGGTACAGCCAACAGAAAAATGACAACTGTTCAATCTCACATCAACATCTATAACAGTGAAATTGAGAATAAATATAACAATCCGTTATGTGTTTTTCACTATTGTTTTATGTTTAGATTAGGCGTGCATTTGAGAAAAGAGAAGTCAAGAAGTATTATTTAGCTATAGTTTGGGGATATGTTGGGTCAATTTGTGACTCAGATTTATCATCATCATTCGTCAAACATGAATCAAAACTCGTACATCATATCCAAATGCCAATTGGTTCATTTCGATATATTTGGCCAAACACTGGACGCAAACAAAAGATAATTGTTCCTATTACACATCCAGAATGTCATGTAAGTAAACTGTATTTACCAGTATTGGAATTATGAACTGATTGATTAAGCTATTAGTCAAGAGGCCGTTTTAAAAAGTCCTAACTGAATAAATTAAAGGTTTATAAGTATCATTCTCCTCATATACATTTTACCTTGTTTCGAAGAAATGTTTCAAAATGACTTCATCAAAGGATACAACCATAAAAGGTATATTAAATTTAATTATAAAAAGCACGTATCGTCTACTGAGTAATTCTCAGATTGATTGCGTGTATGTAATGACATTGTCAAGCACAAATGCATTTACTCTTCATGTCTCTTGATATTCATTTCAGTATCCCTCGATATGTATTTTTTCATCCTGTTTTTCCGAACAGTATCCTCAAAGCTTAGTCTTTCTCATTTTCATTGCTATTACAATAATTCGATTCTTTTGCTATTCATCCTGTCAATTTCACCTCGTCAAACTAATGTAGTCTGACGACTTCGGCCAAATCATATTTGCGCCAAGCTGTACGTCGATTATGACTGTGAAATTGTCAGTACACTAAAAACTGAAATATATATATATATATATATATATATATATATATATATATATATATATATATGTATATATATGCCCCCTAAATGCCCTGGTACGGCCGAGAGTGGGGAGAGTCCGCTCTCCCTCTCGAAATGGCCACGCGTATATAGCCTCTGCCAGGGAAGTCTTACTCACTGCCTTCTCGTGGCGGGGTAGCTGTTTACGAAAATGAGAGGACGAAAAGCGAATGTCCGGCGATTTAACTGGATTCCAAACCAATGGTGCACATGGGCTCCAGTATCCTGCCTGAGGGAACAAATGGCGTATGAACCAATCGTTGGTCACCGGCTACCATGGGACTGCATCTCCTTACGATGCTCCACTGCCTTGTGGGTCAGACATTCAGGTCAAAGGCTCAGGGTGTGGCCCCCTAAGAAAACCACCTGCTTCGGTTCGGGCACCCGAGCAGTATCACAGCCCTCACACATCAATTGAGATTTGTGTGGCGCATATGTACTTGGTGCCTCCTTTTACCAATATCTATGTGTTAAAATAAATTTTTCCTCAATGACAAATTTAGACCTCTAACATCTAGTTAAGAGCTGTTTTTCTAGTGTTAAACGAGGAAAAATTGAAGAGAAACACCAAGATTGGGGAATGGTGCATAACAATATGATTTAAAATAAAAGTAAGGTAGTTTACTGTCTCCATTGATCTTTCTACCTTCATAAATCCTCATTTTACTTTCTAATGTATGTAATCTTATTTCAGAGACCACGTGAATCTTTAACAACAGTTATTGTTTTGGACTATGGCAAACTAATGGGTGAACCAGCCACACATGTGCTTCTTATCCCTAAAACTGGTCGTCGTCATCAATTACGTGTACATTGTGCAATTGGTCTCGGTCATCCAATCGCTGGTGATATCACCTACGTTCGTCGTCCATTCGATCATCCTAATATCGTTTACCTGAATGACGTTTATACAATGCATAATGTTAACTTGGATTATAAATTAAAACATATGATGCTACATGCATATACTATGAAAATAAATTTACAAGTAAACAGTAGAGAGAAGATTGATAATGTATGTGCTAACAAGCGTTCGTATCAATTGCCTGAAGAGAAAGAATATCAATTTCAAACAAATAATAATCCATTTTTCAATCTAAATGATGCTTATCTATGGCAGAAAGATGAAGAAAGTGAAAAGATGATGATGATGGCAATGGGGCAAAGAACGACTCTCCATACATTGGAAGAATATATACTGAACAATGCTTATTAGGAAATTTATGGTTCTAAATGAGTTGTAATGTGTGTATGTGTAAATAAACCTGTCAGATTCTATTATTTTGCATACAAATGGGATTTTTTCTAAGAAAATGATCTTATTCATTTCAACATCCAGGAGGAATAGTTAAAAAGAAATCTATTCAAACACGGTGTACAATCTGTTTAAGGATAATATCCTAACGATCAAGAAGCCAAGCAAGACCAGTCCAAAGAATACGGTTCTTCTAAAAAAATGAAATAATTTTTCAGACAACGATGTATCCAAGTCCCGATAGAGCCGCTACAGATAAACTTTCATCCGAGTAAAAATGAAGTCATAATATTGTAGTATGAGACAAAATAGCGCAGGGATGAATCAGGCAGGAACGTACAGTTAGATTTGCCGTCGTCCATGGAACATGTTCATGAACTCAATCAGTTTATAAGCACTCTATTCATTTAACCGCTTAGTGAGTATCCAATACGTGTACACCTCAAAGTAAATCCATTGGTAGGAGAACTCCAGGTCTTCTGGACACATTTTTAAAACCTTGTGCTTAAGAGCAATAAATGTACCAGAGACTGATTCCCTGAGGTCTAATTAGCACATCACACTGAACTTTTAGGGTATGTAGAAAACAATCACTAATTTGAAACTCCGTAGTTTTGTAAACTTGAGTTCAAAAGTAGACGGCTATTATTCTTCCTTTGCTCAGCTGACAAAACCCCTTTTTGAACACGTTGCTGTTTTTGAATAAGCCGAACTTATTTTTAATTGCCACTACCCAGTGTTCATTATTTGATTACCACTGTAAATCCAAACCCTATAGAGCTTCGTTAATACCTTGTTCTCTTTGTGCCAGACGGACCCTTCTGTTACATTTTTTACTTAAGTGTCGCATTTTAATAAGACTTCTTTAGACTTTTATTATCAGAATTTTTGTTGCACTGTGACAACTTGTGTTCGCACAAAATCCTTGGCTACGTTTGATTCTAATAAGTATGGTAGACCCCGATTCTTATTTCGATTCTGAAATATTACAGATTGTAAGCACTTAATGATATTCTAATTAAATGAACTGAATCCATGTTGGTTTGTTTAAATATCTTATCAAGATAATGAGACTACCTACATGAAATATAATCTAGTCTTCTTGGGTAACTGAGCACTAACTTTTCAATATATGTTGCAGAGATATACAGTGTAGATTTACTCGCTGCACAAAACTATCATACTTTGTAGCCATTACAATGGTTGATCATATGGTTGTTAGTCAGCATGTGTTGGTCTATAGTCTATACACTTTTCTTTGAAACCAACAAACTAAAATTTAAAAGCTTCATTAGACAAGTTTTCAAGTAGCAATGTGGCATACTAGCTAAACGATAATCACAGGCAAATACGAGTTGGTCGTTGATATATTTCCTGTCAAATGATATATATTTTGTAAACATAATCACCGTAGTCTTCTTCAAAACCTAAAGTACTTTAGAGTAATGCGCCAAAATTAGAAACAAGATTTTTGTAATAAAGAGTGACAACGAATCCCAAGTAATGAATTCTTAATGCAAATTCATTGTGTTAGGCTGAAGTAAAATAATTTAAAATTTTACACAGGAAAGTATTCTGCAAATTTCTATAAGGCTTTTTGATATGTCAGATGTCACAAGAAGATTAATGCATATATGTGCAATCTATCATGAGAGTTATACGTTTGCTACAGATCATCCATATCCCAGTTCATACCATACCAGCATCGTATGTAGTGTAGTTGTTGCACTTAAAATATACAAATCTATGTGCTGTGTAGCTATTACAATTGGCGTTAATATAGCTGTCAGAGTCCATAAACCACTGGGAAGGTATTTAGGATACGTCAATCATTCACAGAGTCGAACTTGGAGGCCATGGAAATTTTGTTTATCTTTGACTTCTATCCATTAGAGAATGTAAGCTGACTTATAAGTTAAATAGGATGACTTCGCGACACACAATGTTACTCTACATGTTTTAAGCAATTTTAAATAGTCTAGACAAATTTTGTTTCCTGATAATTATTACAATTTAAATAGTGGGGTGCTACTAAAAAGCTTGAAGTGATGCAGCCAAATGTAACCAAACAATTCTTGCGAGCCTCATTCTATACTGACAAAAGAAATTTAATGGAAAATTTGGAAAGAAATGAAGATACAGTAAACAATTTAACAGTGTTTTATGGATTAACGTACGCGTATATACACAATCATGAAAAGTAAATATGAAAAATAATTATGATTTTGTACAAATGAGGATACATAACTAAATACGTTAAATGGAATTCAAGTACGGAATGGAGCTCTCTGTATTCTATTCATCACAGATGATGTCGGAGTGTTATTTACAGTACGTGAAGATTTCTATATTTTTAAAACAAGAAACAGTGTTTATTAATAAGATATCTAAGAATAGTCTACTATGGACGTATGAATAAAAGTTTGAATATTAATTAACTAAAACCATTATGAATGATGGATAGCAAGAACTAATACTACTAAGATTTTGATCTGATCAACTAAACCCCCTTTTTGTTTAGATCAGTTTGCTGTAACTTGATTATCCTGATGTGAATAAAGGTTTTAAAATACAATCTGAATGCATTGTTTTATAGATAGAATTATGAGTATTTTGTTGAGAAACTGTCCATGATTATGTAAGAAGATAATTTAAATTTTAGTGGCCCAATATTTGAATAGTTAAACCGTATGTTGATTGCTGTCGACATATAGATGCCGCCAACCATCGTATATAATTATTGACTTCATTCAAGTTAGAGAATAACGGAATAAAATAAGCCAAATACGAGAATGAATTTTAAATACGCATATTTTATACACTTATTGGTCTAGACATATAATCAAAGAAACGAAATGATGAGCGAGTCAACTTGTTTTGGTCAAACATGACTGAATATTTTTATTTAGACAAAAATAAATTACAAACACATAACACATAGAGAAAGCAATTAACAGACATACGATCATTTAGAAAAGTCAGAGTTAGTAAGTGACAAGGTTAAAACATGGTTTCGGAATAATGAAAAAATTGGGTTTAATTTGATTACCAGCCATTAAAAAATACATTAACCGAAACAATTATTACAAAAGGAAAATATTTACTTAGATATTTGGTAGACATAACACTTGTTATCGTTGAGTAGATTATTCGGAGACAATGCCAAATAGTATGTACACAAGTCAATAATAATAAGTGGGAAGAAAAAATTAACAGCTTCACGTATTCATGATACAATATAATAAACTAACTGGTAAGTTTATTATCGTTTGTATGGTTAGAAGTGAAACAAGGTTTATCATCATTACTAGTAGAACATCTGAAACACTAGACTAACACCTAAACTGAATCAAGTAATTTATTGGACGACCCATACACTAAGCATTTGATGTCAAGATTTAACCTAAAAGGTGGTACAGTAACGTCTAAATCTGATCATTATAGGGTTATAAAGTTTCTGCAGTAGACAAATGCATATTTAATCGACATAAACTTACCACAGCAGATCTAGGTGCCGTAGAGAGAGGAGAAAGGAAAGAATTATCGTTGTTTTGTATATTTTTCATCTAATAATCAACAAAAGAAAATAAATAAATAACAACAAGAATTCAGCTTCAGACAGAATAAGGAAGTTTATCATTCAAGATGGTATGCTTATTAATTACTGATCTGTAAACACTAACAACCTGGCATTCTCATAAAAATTTAAAGTCTGAGAGTACAATAATACACGTCTATACATTGTGATTAAGAATTTTAAAAACAGATAAACTTGTAAATCTTCAGGTAAGGATAACTGTAGGAGTCTACTTTCCCTCTCGAAATTCTTTTGTAAACGCATGCGTTTATAGTTTCTATCAGGGATGCCATATTTACTGCTTTTACTTGGCGAGGATGTTGTTCACAAAAATGAACGGACATAAAGTGTGCGTCGGACTCATAAACTGAGTTGCTGAATACGGAAGATTTACCTATAATTGGAAGACACTGACTACAAACCTAGGGTGAATATGGGCCCCAGGATCTTGAGGAAACAAATGCCCCCAAATGCCCTGGTATGGCCGAGAGCGGGGAGGGTTCGCCCTCCCTCTCGAAATACTCTCACACGGCCACGCGTATACAGCCTCTGCCAGGGAAGTCCTACTCACTGCCTTCTCGTGGCGGGGGTGTTGTTTACGAAAATGAGAGGACGAAAAGCGAACGTCCGGCGCTATAACCGGATCCCAATTCTATGGTGCACATGGGCTCCAGTATCCTGCGGGAACAAATGGCGTATGAACCAACTTTTGGTCACCGGCTTCCATGGGACTGCATCTCCTCACGATGCTCCACTGCCTTGTGGGTCAGACGTTCAGGTCAAAGGCTCGGGGTGTGGCCCCCTAAGAAAACCACCTGCTTCGGTCTGGGCACCCGGGCAGTATCCCAGCCCACTCACTAAAACTATGATGAACAATTTGCTTATGGAAAATATTCCTTTCTATCTGATTAACATTGAAATAACTCGAAAACTAAAACTAAACTATGAGGAAACAAATGACGTTTGAAGGCAACGAGCATGAGTCCATAAGCAGTTTCACAATAGTTTGCATGCATTGCTTTAATTATTAAGTAGATTAAATGGAAAACCATAGCTCAAAATTTTTGAATTGTTTAGCGTCATGACGTGATATAAAATTTATGTTTAAAGTACCTGACTTTCAATCATAAAAGCATATTTGCAAATGATTATCTGCTTTGAAAAGAAATGATTTTTTGCACAACTGAAAAAAAAACTAAATTCAATTAACGATGTAAAGATGCAAATAAATTATGTTAACGTTTACAGTAAGTAACAGTAAAATGTGAAATCTTATACCTGTAAAACACGTAATGTTGAGCAGACTTTCTTTCCACTCAGTCTTGCACTTCGACGTTTTGTTGGGACAATTTTTTTATGAAGTGAACTCGATGACGAAATGCAGGAAGTGACTGGAGTTTGAACTGAAGATTTGGCCTTTGTTATAGGCGTGTGAACTGATGACAAAGAATCTGTAG